GCCTAATTTTAGTCCCTTTACCCTCACTCTTTTCTGACAAGGAAAAGATGGGAAAAGTGAATTTAATGGTAGAGACGGATAGTAAGGGGAAATATACCATTTATGTACGTCTCTTCCTTTGTCGATTAAGGGTAGGTAACGCATCTCCAAAAGCAGATGTTTTCAGGCAACGATTGCTTGTTTGTACCTTACAGTATATAAAAAAAATTATACAGAATGTGTTTGTATTTAACAATGTGAACCCTTGTCTACTGTAGTCAAAATAATTCTATCAATTTTAAATATTGATGTGACATTTGATTCGTATTTTACATCACAATGGCATTGATTTTAAGCCTCCATGTTGGTATGTCGTCAGTTAATTACTTGCCATATTTTATAACATGTGTATAATTATTGTTTCCAGGCAAGTACACGTCGCTCTGCGATGTGTGGAGTTACGGCGTGCTGATGTGGGAGATATTCTCTAAAGGCGACACTCCCTACGCCGGCATGAGCAACTCGCGCGCTCGGGAGAAAATAGACGCCGGTAATACACCGTTTATTTTAATTACACTTTTACTACTTGAGACTACTTATCTCTATATCTTTATTTATATAAGACTAGCTTTCGCCCGCGATTCCATCCGCACGCAATTAAATTAATAAGTAGCCTATGTGTTCTACCAGATTATACATTATCTACTTATATTTGTGGTGATTTTTAACAAGATTCATTTAGCCGTTTAGAACGTACCTTCTAAAATATATCCATCCATCTGTATATTCGCATTTATTATATTAGTACGATTTTTCGTCACACTTTCTGTACGCAATAATTTGTATGATTTAAATGTTTTTATTTCTATTTCAACTAGTTGTTACTCACGACGTCGCCCGCGTGAAATTAAAAAATAATAAAAATTGAAATCGGCCCAGTAGTTTTTGAGTTATTTCAATACATACAAAAATTCAAATATGTCTTCATTATAATATTAGTATAGGTTATGTTTAAATTAATGTTTGTCCGCAGGTTACCGAATGCCGGCACCAGATGGCTGTTCGGAGGACGTGTACGCTCTGATGCTGCGCTGCTGGGAGTACGAGGCGGACAAGCGGCCGCACTTCCATCAAATATACACTATTATTGATAATATTTACAACAGGTAACAACGCAGAACAAAACATTAATATTGGAATAACCAACAATTCGATATTTAATAAACTAAAATATCAATTTTAGTATTTTCAAATAGATCTTGCTTGTCAACACAACTATCGTAATTTAAAAACGATTTTCCATCCTTCTCCGTCTCTATGAAGAAGACAGAAAGAGATAGTATATAGGTGTCATAGCACTAAAGTTACATACAATGAAAAAAGAAAGCATATTGTTATCCTTGTCAATCTTCATGAAATAAATAGAGACAACTATATTGTGGTAAAGCGTTTCGATTTTTAACTTTATTATAAAGATTATTATTTTTGTACATTCATGATTAATTATAATTTAGTTTATGTAAATAAATTGCGTTACCCTGAGGCGTGCAATGACTCCATGAAATTTCTTTTTGATATTATACGTAACACAATATTTTATTTTTATATTTACTTTATTGATATTACTTTGTACATAATTATGAATATTTTTGATTGTTTAATGGTTAGAGAATTTTTGAACTGGTTTGTAAGTGTAAAAATAATGAAGTTAAAAACAATAATGTAAGCTTAAAATATGCCTAAAAATTTAATGTCCTGATTTTGTGTAATAATTCTATACTCATTGTTATTTTTAATATGTTTTTGAATTGATGATTCTGTTAATAATCTTACGTAATTGCATAATCGAATAAAATTGTGAATATCGAATTATATTACCTATAAGATGTTTATGTCAATTTAGTAATTTTAATTAGTTAATATTTTGGTTTGTATTAATGGTTTAACAATAATTCTTATGGCAAGTCATAAAGGGATACGATTACAGTGCTCTGCATTGGTGCATTAATGGCCTCATTTGTCATACATTATTTTGAAAATATCTGTTGATTATTCTAGCTTTTTTTGATTTGACAGCTATGACGTTGCAATATGGCGCAGGTTCTGGAACATTCTATTTTGTGATTGGTCCACTTTGATTAAATATGTTGATATTATGAAAATATTAAGATTGCTTTAATGTTAAAATCAGTGTTCTTATTAATAATATTATGTGCAAAATATACATATTATGTTATTTCTAAATTATCTGTATTATTCTATATATTTTTAAGATTATATTTCGATTAAAACCGAAGAGCTTCCGAGTGTTGATTTAATTTTAAGAAATTAAAATAGATTTGATTGTATTTTGTATTTGTGCGGTTGGTAAAAATAATGTGCTTCCATTTTATTGTGTTTCCATTAAATAACAGATTGTAATATTTGTCTTGCCTACATAGTTAGTGCATATTTCAATGAAATAACGTAAATTTTCACTGTCATCATACATATATAAAAACACTAAGAAAAATGAAATACATAATGTTTCTGTACTGGTGTTCCGGCAGTGGAAATTTACGGTTAAAAAATTAAAGTGAGATAATTCGCTGTAGTTAATATGTTTCTTATTTTAGTCTTAAGTGAAATGTAAATATTTTTATGTCAATATCAATTAAAGTGCCAGATGATTTGGATTCGAATATTTTGGAAATTTTCTTATTACCCAGACCCAAATATAAAACCTATAGTTTCTATGATGCAAATAGTCTCCGGATGTCTTTTGTTGGTATAAATTTCCTCATTTTTGTCATTTACAATACAAAATTATTGCATGAAACACTATAGGTTACATACCTACGAATTAATCATTAAAAATTGCTACACATTAGTAGCGAGTCAAAATCGCGGGTGTACCATAGCGAATTAAATTATACCACTTACTAAAAAATGTACTATTTAGTACCTCGCTTAAGTACCTTCCCTAGAACGAAATAAAGTTACACCCGCCATATTGATTCAATATTTTGACTCTCACTATTAGTAGTAATTATTAGACAAGGAGTTGAAGGTGAATTTGTTTGAAACAGTATAAAAAAAAGATTAAACATATAAACATTTATTTCTATATAAAAGATCCTCTTATAGATACAATTTAATCAGTTCATCACTAACAGCTGATGGATTTAGTATTCCCAAGTCAGTAAACAACAAAGTGATATATGCCGGAGGGGTGTAGTCAACTAAGGGATGTTCCTTAGACAGATCTTTGTTGTTCTTCAAAACACTTGATAGATATTTGAATTCATTTGGCAAGTCGAGCTGGTTCAGAGGATATATTCTGGAGAATTTAAAACTCTCTGTTAAAACGTGGACCGGTTTCTTCAGCTCTAATGCAGACATCGCTAAACTGTAAGTACCAATCTGGAAAAATAAAAAAATTTCATTAGTGTGTTTCCACTAGCAACTAGCCAAAAACTTCTACTATATTTCATCAACATTATTTTCACAGACACGATTATAAAGATCCAATTTCCACTCGCTAATACTATTTCAAAATGTTAAAACGGCTAACGAATTTACCCTATGTACCTGGAATTAATACTATTTCACTAGCTTGGCCAATTACAAAAAGAAAGTTGCGTACTGCTAGCTGCTAAATGATACTAATTTAATTCGAAAATCTCACCGACCTTTTGACACTCAAGAAAACAAACTGAATTAAATAACATCATCGTCAAAATAGTATCTTTCGAGAATGCTTACAAAATACAAAAACATAATAAGTTATATGAGTAAAAATAAACACAAATAGCAGTCAGGCACAGCTAATTGCTTAGTGGAAAGAAGGTTTAACAGACAAGTTTTATACCTTGTTAATAATGCCACCACTCTCAGTGACACCCTCTGCACCCAACATGACAATATCAACTTGCTCCAAGATATAGCCGATGGCTGCGTCTAAGATCAGCGTCGCGTCCACACCGCCCGCTACCAGTTGTTTGTGCATTAAAACTCTGCAGATAAGGCAAATACATTACATAAAGATATCAAATAGGATGTAAAGACACCATCAGTATGTATGGAATTTTTAAGGTTTCATCACTGATCGCGACTTTGTCCATGTGGAATTCAAAATAGTAAAAACGTAGCCTATGTTACTCAGTGAAAAAGTAGCTTTATATAGTGAAAGTATTTTTTTAATCGGCCCAGTAGTTAAATACATACAAAAATCTAAAATCACAAATCTTTCCTCTTTATAATATTAGTACAGACTTAGTGCTAACTCCTTAGAGGAATTATAACACTTCACTTCATAATTGTTGGTTACTACCTCAAAGATAACAAAACATTAATGTACATTGAAAATTTATTCAAGATACTTACATATTTAAATGTTTCAGTATTCATATATATGCTATTATCTATACAAAACTATTGGTTGCATATAAGGTCATCCCAGGTGCATGCCTTGCTAAGATTATTAAAAAGAAAAATAACTTGGTTCTCTAATTCAAATAAGATTTCTCTTACCCGCTATTATCAGGTCCGGACATTGTGACATAAACATGAAATCTTTTGTTAGCTTTTGCTGCCTCCAACATGGCTTGAAGCACTACTCTTGATCTGGAATGTGTTAGAATTTTCTGGAAAAATAGTCACAAAAATATAGCATAGGAAATTGTGAAATATTTTAAGTGATTAGTAACTTAAAGTTTACTTAAAAGTTTCTATTACTTACACAGCCATCGCTAATAAAAGGTAAAGCTTGTTTGGCCACTTTTCCTCTTGCTTCAAGTAATGTTCTCAAAAATATATGACCTCTTTGCAACATAATTTGTTCACATTCTTCAAATGACTGAAAATAAAATACAGATTCCGGTTATACATTTTTTAATTACTGGAAAAAAGTGTTTCCTGTTGGCAACACTGATCACAGATAACATAAAATGTAATATTGGTACATACCTTGACATCAAGTTTAGCAAATGTGATGAATCTCATGAAGAGTTCGCAGCCAGAGGATATGGCTGCTACCGGCTGGTCACAGTGACGCATTGCATCAACTGCGAGCTGCAGGTTCAGGTCCAGCTCTCTTACAGTTGCCACTGGAAACAATAAAAGCAATTGATATAGAATTATCTAACTAATATTATAAATATGAAAGTTTACATGGATGGCAATATTAGATAGATAGATAATTTGGTATGTATGTCCAAAAGAGTCTGGAAGTATACATACATTTGTTTTTGTTTTTTTTTTTAATTTTCCCACAGATGGAGTTGTAGACAAAATCTAGTAAACTATTTCTCAAACATTTCATGCACACAACTTGCCTAACATAAAAAAATAAGCTACTAAGCTAAATTAAATTATTATAGCTTAGGAAACTAATTTGCCAACCTACAATAAAGTCTGTTTAAAATTACATTTGAATGATGAGTTAATGCCAACCTTTGTAGTTTTCTATAACTGTGAGTAGTGTTCTAATTGCTGCCACGCCTGCAGAGACATCCTCTTCTTCTCTTAGAATTTTAAGGAAAATTTCTTGTACTTCTAAAACAAAACATATGAGAAACATGTAAGTTGGCTGTCTGTTCTATTATTCATTGAAATTTATATCTTTTATAACCTTACCTTCTTTTTTCATGATTTCAGATTTCACTGTGCCTGTATATATAAATGTAATGATTCAATAAGAAATCTATCTACGTGAATTGTTTATAATAGAAATATAACCTATTTACTATTTAACTCGCTGACACTGACATTGACATTTTTAATTTTGACAGATTTCTTACCGTGAAAGTGAAACATTTTGTACGGGATATTTACCGATAAATATTTTAAAAATTACACAAGACTGAATATTTTCTTTATTAACTGTAAGCAATATATAAGATTTGTGATTTTTTTTAAAACTACAAATAATAAATAGACGGTGTTGTCCGACATTAACATGTTCTGAGAAACATTGTTTACGTTGGGACTTTGCAATATGCCTGAACTAAACTGATTATAAACTTATGAATTTTACAAACAATCGATTTCGTTACATTTCTTTCATCAGGCGCCATCTAACAATGATAGAAAAAATGCATAATACAGACTACCCCCCAACCCCACATTTGAATTACGATCAAATTACCTTCAACAATTTTATACTTGACTTTTATATTTTTATTGTAACATTGAGTTTATGTTATATTATTTAAGTAGTATGGCGCAAAAACTATCGCTGTTGAATAGGGAAAGTCATGGTCAAATGCGATTGTGGTTTACCTGCGAGTTGATTATAGTCTGACGGATATTCGAATGGCTAAGACGTGTTAGGAAGTTTTAAAGAGTGCTTAATCTCTTTTACCATTCGCGGATCTTGTGTTTACAAATAAACTGCGATCACAAGTTAACATGGGCAATACCGCCTCCCTTAAGCTTAACGATAAAAGGAAGTGGCAGTAAGTATTTTCTTCTTGAAATATTGTCTTTTTAATTTAAGTTCATATGGTTTTACCTAACTTTTTCTATCTCTTATAAATCTGTGTAAACAAACAACATTTTTAAAGTCCTCTAGTCTAAGGTTCTTTATTAATCATTAGGAATATCATACTGAAAAAGTGCGCACTTTCCTGCAATGTTTTATAATGTAACAGTCATTGGAAATACCCTGCTAATCGGAAAAACGATACAATTTTAATTTAATTTAGAAAAATAAACTTTTGAGTTTAATGTAATATACGATAGATTAAGAACACCCATTACAAAACATAATATTTTAAATAATTAAGCTTGGTTTTCATGGTGAATTTTCAAATTTCAAGGTTAAAAATGCTATTCAGGCTTCAGTTCTGAACTGCTTATAGATGATTAGTTTTTGTTCGTGACTCTTCGCGAAATGAAAACAAAAATATAGCCTATTCAATATGTTCTATATCTGTGCGGGTTTTGTTGAGCCGTTCTGGAGATATCTTCCACCAAACATTCATCCATCCATCTATATTTTCGCATTTATAGTAAGAAGTAAGGTTGTACATTATTTGGCAACATAACCTTACATGTAACAGCGGAAATGGTAACATTCGAGGAACAATGCTTGTTATACCAAAACAAGACATGATTACGATTCGCTTTCAACCGAGGATCGTTCTTACGTAATCTATACGTTATTTATGTCAGCAGTTCCATTACATAGCGTATGTAGAACGATTAGTAAATGGTAATATTTATTTATAAAAGTTCATGTTTTGCTTATCATGACACGTTACAGAAACATTTTAATTAGTCTGCAGTTGCTGATAAGAAAGTAGTTAAATATATTTTTTGGTATTTAACTGCACCAAAAATTCAAATAAATAGGTTTTTTATTATACACAACATAGTAACCAAGTTCCGTATCTTATAAAATGACACTCAGAAGCATTAATTTAAGTAGACAGCGTAGATGAGATGGTCTAGAGGTAGACCTAAAAAGATGGATGGATTGTGTGAAAGGTGACATGATCAAGAAAGGAGTGATGACTGAGTTGACGGATGATAGTTATTTGGAGGACGAAAACCCGGAGCACCCTACGGGAGTAGGATAATGTAGTGGAGATGATTCATTTAGCGTAGGTTTCTCGTATTACTTGTTGCCTGAGCGGCACTTAGTGCATTGACTTCTATTTAATTTGTTTATTATTAAACCCCCGCTGTTTTAGCTTAGCTGTAAACATTTTAACTGTGTATTGACGACATCAATGTCATTCAGTATTAGGATCAAGGTATTGGTTTTTACTAATAGTTAATGAGACAAAGGTACAAAAGTGAGCGTTGAGTTCACCAGACCATAGCACAAATAGTTACGAAAAATCCTTTTCATTCACAGACTTTTTAGTTAAAGATTTCCTGTTTAACTACAGTGATGCAGTTGTCATAGAAATATATAAAAATACACTTATGCATATCACGTAATATGTAAATAGGAATTTGCATTTTGCATTGTGCTTGTATATTTGCTGTAACTATGTTGTGGTATTGTAATGACTATGTGATTCTAATTACAAGAACAATTTAAAAAAACTATGATTTAAAAGAATTTAATTTAAAAGAACTATTTAAAAAACACAACACTAGCTTTCGCCCATGACTCTGTCCGCGCTGAATTAAAAAAAATATAATTATTAGTTAGTAGACTATGTCTTTTTCCAGACTATGTTCTATAGTTATGCCAAATTTCTTTGAGATCCGTTCATCTGTTTAGACGGCAAACTCTAACAAACTTCCGCTTTTTTAATATTAGTAAGATATAATTTTTTTTCGTAGGTACATTACACTGACGCAAATGAATTTCGATATCTAGCAATACTTGAAATTTTGTTTATTTTAGAATTACTTAAAAGCATTTCTAAGCCAAGGTTTACTCGGTCTAATAACCTGTCAAACAATGTGAGATTCGTTAAGCGTAAATAAATAAAAAACATACTGAATCTCATTATTTTGTAATCACAAATAACTTATAGTCCGCAGTAAATGACCAATAGAGTGCATAACTTACAGCAATAGAGCTTTCAGCTTTTACTTTGATCTTTTCCGTGACGTATCAAAAAGAGGATTGTTACGTATTCTGCACTGAACGGTAAAGTATCGTGCTCAGTGTACTCATATTTTTAGATTACATAAATTAAAAAATTACATATATCTGGCGAGTAAAACGCCACCATTTTGGAAACAATGGCCTTTAAAATTAAAAATAAAAAAGTTTTTTTTAATTGAGCATAGATTGTATGTGACATTTTATCAGGTGGACTGTGGTCTCGTTACATTTATATTAAATGTTAATAAAGCGAGTTAGTTGCGAATGAGATGCCCTTGACCTGATCTTGTGCGCTCAAGGCATGCCAGCGTCGTGCGTGCATGATCTGTTAGGTCTGACAACGGGCATACAATATAGATGATTTAGTCTTTTCAACTGTGCTGAGAGTCGTTAAGTCTCAAAAATCTTAGAGGTTCCCTTAGTGAGCAATTAGTTACTGCAGCAGTTAAAATATGCTCTACATTTTTTGAAGTATTGAACTGTTGGTATCATCTTGTTTATTTGTTTTAAAAACCAGAGACAAGAACAACTTTTTATACGGTTCTTTAAGCAGTGGAAATCCGCCGTAATGTTGCTCCAAGTTGCAGTATGAAGCATTGTTTTACAACACTACGTGTTTCTCAATAACACATAAAAACGGAAGCGTAATGTTTTTTTGCAATCACTGTGTGAATACGGTAAATGTCGGTTAATTTCCACAGTAAAATGGCGTAACCTATGATAACGATGTCAGCCATAACTATAAAGTAACGTGTTAATGTCTTGATAAATAATAAATAACTGTTAATATGTTGAGGGGGAAATGAAATTGTCATGACCCATAGAGGTGGCTAAGGGTTAGAGCACTTGACTTGTAATCTACAGGACCTGGGTTCGAATCTCACCATGTACTAATAAGATTTTCAATTTTTGAATTTCATTTGTACATAATTTACCCGACGCTCTTACGGTAAACAATTACAGTATGGTGCACCCAGCATTTATGCGAAAAAATTAAAGACTACAAAATTTAACTATTATTGAAGTCAACCAAGTAAATTAACAAACAACCAACTAAATTCGATACATTTTACATTACTTAGGAGCGTAAGCCGTTTTAGTTAATTTCTAAATAAATAAGGCTGCGGATTAAAGAAAGCTTCAACAATGCTATATTATTCAGTTAAATAAATATTGCTCCGGCATTTATTTAATTTACAACTTGTTAATTATTTACCAAGACACGGCTACGGGATATTGATAAGCTGTGGCATCATGTATTTAGCGTGATCACCGTAAATCAAATCTTCAGTCGTATTTACGAGTTCGTTTGAGCTCTACAATATATAGACTCTAACAAAATTACTTAATTTTAACAAAATTACAAAGTTGTAATGCATTAAAATTGATAAGTGTAATTAATTATAAACTTCTTTCTATTCTGTGATATTGGATCTCTTTGCAAATTCGATTTTTTAAAAATGGAATTTGTTAACCGTAAAGTCAAAACGGTCGCCAAAATTGACGTGTGTCAAATGAATGGCGCGGATAGTTGTTACAAAATTAAGAGGTGAGTTACAGAAAATCGTAACCGAATAGCACAATTATTTTATCATATAAATACGTTGAAAAGCACTGCTATTTACTTTTTAAAAAAATGTGTATGTATTTACTCTTAACACCGTGAGTACAATATTAATTAAAATAAAACTGATCAACTATATTCAATTAACTTGAAAAACTACTGTGGTGTGAAATGGGTACGACGTGCTTAAAAGTAAAGAAGGTTGGTATACAAGTGGTCAACGTATGTTTAAAATACTAGACAAATAGTAGTAAAGTTAGAAAATATGGGAAAACTCCTGAAACGACTTTAGTAAACGAATTAGAAAGAGGTCCTTTTACTACCACCATTTGAATTCTAAAATTAAAATGTTTGTTACCAAATAACTTTAATATTCCTGAATTAAAATTGTATTTCATACAACTGCTATTCCCAGATTTTAATTTAATTGGCCCTAAACTTCGAGAAAAGAGTGTTTAGCTGTGACCTCGGTGACCAAATTTATTAACCTTTCGTTTTCCGTTCTGCAAACATAATTAACAAGTTATACCTGTAGTTAAAGGTATTATAAATAATTACTCTTCCCAGTGGTTTCGCGATTCTTTCTGCACAATATTTGGGCGGGAAGCCAAGAAGTCAGTCCGCTTAAGTGGTTTGTTATTTATTTTGATTAGAATTTAAAAGTCTTTTTTTTTGTATGCTATTTTCCAATAAGGAAGTATTCGTAGTTTAGTTCAATACAAGTTGTCGGTAGTTAGTGAAGGTTGTTTGGAGACTTAGTTTATATTTAAACCTTACCTGTCGTACTCAGAGACTTTTAAAGGTCACTAAGGAATTTATAAAGTACCTAATAGCTTAAACACACCCAGTCCGTGCTTGTAAAAATTTCGAATTCATTAGTCCCTTTAATAATTTTGCCGCAAAATCTCTTTTATGTTGTTCGATAAAAATTGCAGATGAAAAGATGCAGTTTTTCCATTATTTATATCGAGTAAAATTTTTACTTGTAATTAAATACCCATGCATAGTCTGGGTGATACGTAGTTGATAAGTATAATTACGTGAAAATATTTGTGGTTAATGAAACATTCCTACATGTGGTCTGATTACGCGTTCTGATTCACATGTTAGGTCGGAGGTCATCGACATTGTCGTATCTTATTGTTTTTTTTTTCAATGAAATGTAATAACAATTGATAACAAAAGCCGATTACATGACTATCTTATTATCTAACAGCTGCGCATGCACAAGAAAAATCAAGTGAAATAAAAAATAATCATGCCATGTTACTAATTTTATGTTACTAATAGGTGTTCGTCTATATCTATCTATTCATATAATAAAATGTCGCGAAAAAGATGCATTGGCGTTGCTGATAACCAAAACTGCATTTTTTTTTGTCTGTGTGCCTTTCCGCAGCCGCGTTCTGGGTAATCTTCAAACGGCTAGGCCGATTTTGACGAGATATACTAGAGAAACATAAAAAAAACAATATCTTTAGTTCCGTTGGTTTATAACGTCTTTGAAAATGTATTGATTTACAATGTGTTGCCATCAGCCAATGTCGACTTACTTAAGGCAATCTTTGAATCAACTAAGATTCGCAATATTCAATGTAAAGAACAAATAATGAGTATGAACTTGAAACGTTATTGCACAATCACGCTTCAACTAAAATAATTAATTATTTATCGTTATTATTGGCGAAGGTGCTTTTTTAATCTTTGTTTTTAATTTCCGTTTCGTTGTGAAAGAAATTTTATTTCCCACTTTTTGACCGACTTCCCAAAAGAAGAAGGTACTCAATTCGTCTGTATGTTTTTTTATATGTGTTTTACGGCATAGCTCCGCCGATGGTGGACCGATTTTTATAATTCTTTTTTTATCCGAAAAGTAGTGCTTGCAGGTGGGTACCACTTTTTTATTTGATTTTTTATTGTTAGTTATTTTTCCTTTAGTTGACATTTTTACTTATTTTTTATTTTATTAGAGGAAAGAAATGTTTAGCTATATATTCTTTTGTGTTATTAGCCATACAGTCCTGTTTAACAATTAATCTAAAATATAAAACTTATATCGGTGATATGAGGAACTGAATGAATGTCGACCGCTATGTTTGCTTTAATATTTTTAGCACCATAAAACTTTATCACGTTTACCAGAGTGAGTCATCAACGATGATAAAATGGAAAATTCGATTGGACCACTTTTAAAACGTTAGGCATTCATTTGTCAGTTTGTCTGGTTGGGAATACCATGACCTTGTAAAATAAAATATTACCATTGTTTATTAGACCGAATTTTGTCTCTTTTTTGCTTTTATTGTATTAGCAAAATCTTTAATGTCTTTTCTTTTACATTAAATATAAGTTCCTTGGCATGCTATTAAGATTTAGAACTATACTCACAGTAATATTGCTGAAATTATAGTAACTGAAAATAATGCTAGATGGCGCGATTAGGTTACCTCTATGATTTTTTAGCTGTAAATCCACAGTACTTAAAATACATTGAAAATTTGAACAAAGAAAAAACACTTAAAAGTATAATAGATAATATGATTGTAAATATAATATTTTTTTTATCATAGAACTTGATAACAGCACCGCATATTGGCACAGATTTTCACGATATGAGGACATCGACCTAACGCCATCTGTTATCAAGTGGTGGAAACCGCAAGCGTGGTTCGTATCAATTCAGCGGCTGAAAAGTTTTCCCGTTTTCCCAGGAGCGAGACCGCGATGAGTCCAGCGCCCCCCTCGCTGCAAAACAAAAGTAGCACGCTGCAAGCCGACGGCAGGCAGTCGAACGCGACTACTGGAAGCAAGTGTACGCATAGCGAAATGGAGCGCGATCGTATCGGAGTATGGGGCTGCGGAGACGGCCAGTCTGCCGGAAAAGTCTCCGGTCTGGACCGGCTCAAACATCCCGGTCTCAACAAGGTAATTCCACACACCAATTAACATTATCGATTTATATTCACACATAATTCGCTCAGGTCGTTCGTAATGTACTTCAATTTGAATCAGCTGATCGTGTCAAATGTTGGCCAAATACATTACGTCCAACGTTTGATTGTGAAAATGTTTGTTTTGAATTGAATTTAAGTTGATGGCCAACGTACACTGTAATGCCAACATACATGTTAAATTCCATTCGTTGTGTTTATAACAGGTTAGTTTATATTTATTATGAAAAATAACCTTTTTTTTTAGTTTAAAATTATTGCAAACATTTTGATATCAACTTCTCAACAGAAGTATAAAAAATGCATATACATATTTTCATGTTTCTTTACAATTGTATTTTTATTACCTTATAAAATCAGGTCATAATTGTTTTTAATTGCTTTTACTTAGCATTTCATGTTTTAATAGCAAACACGTGTGTTATATATTACCTTCATACAAGTATGTATGTTAGTACATTCTAAAAGTCCTAAAAGGGTCGCACGATTTAAAACAAAAGAGAAAATACCTTTGAAGGGTGCTTTTAGCCCTCTAAATGTTGACGCTCCACCGCCCTCTTGTTAGGGTCCCAGTAGCTCATAGCTTGTATAAAACTCGTCACTGTATTTTTTGCTTTGAATTCTATCTTACTTCTTACTTAATATTATAAATGCGAAAGTTTAGATAGATGGATGGATGTTAGAGTTTGTAGCCTAAACGTCTGAACGGATTTCGATGATATTTGGCATACATTTAGATGGAGTCGCGGACGAAAGTTAGTTATAATCTTAAGTTTTCACTGTTGGAATAACGTATCTAATGATTAATGTTACTCTCTACCATGAGTTTGTAATCTTATAACTTTACGACACATATATCATTCTAGGCATAAGTACCGCCCTGTGTTAGATTTTTACCACGCTCTCGCTTATTACCATTACTAGAAAGAGTGTTTAAAAGTGTTATGTGTTAGTAATACGTAGACCTGTAGCGTTCCTTTCTGTCGCCCTAATAACGTCTTTACTAACTATTGTTGTCACTGTTTTCTCAAATAGAATGAAAGGGATGACAATAAAAGTTTCAGTGTTAATAGAATTCTATTCATTCCAAGAATACCAACTGATTTCCATTCCTCGAATAGCAGTTGTAAATATCACTGTTTACAACCGTTCAATAACTTGGGTGACCCGGCTCAGTTCATGTAACTAGTTACTATGTTTGTATACAGAAACTTGTATTATGCCATGTTTTGATTGGAACGTAAATGCAACTGTAGGGAAATGTAAATATTTTCATATGTAATAACTAAAAATTGTTACATAATTCCGATACTTTTTATTTTTTTAGCAATATATTAACGTCGTTTTAACTAAATTATTTTATTTTTTGTTGCGTGATATACGGTACTCTGTAAATCTATACTGATACTGTAGAAAGATTTGTATTTTTGTATGTATTGGAATAACCCAAAAACTACTGGATTGATTTTAAACATTCTTTCACCGTTGGAAAGGTAATTTATCTATGAGTGATATCTGTTATATTTTTCATGTAATGAGAACGAAGTCGCGAGCAACAGCTAGTAAAATATATTTTAGTACTCTACATAAATCGTACTTGATAATCATGTCAGGCTTTACCGATTACTAAAACGTACCGCGTCACTTTAGGTTGGGTATTTCTATCGCACAAATTTAAATAGTACATACTAAGTTACGTTTGCTATGCACTTTTGCTTTTCCTCCAAGTGTTTGCTGCCATATCCTTATTAACAAGGGTTCTATCTTGAGTATATACGTGACAGTTGCGGGAACGTATTTCGAACTTCATCGACAAAATACGTATGAGATTAGTTGGTGTGGTTTACGTCCGCTAGGGACGTTACCAATACTAATAAAAAATTTCTCGATGTCGTTACGAAAACAATTTGATGTAGCATAGTAACTATAGTTAGTTGCATTAATATTTAATAATTATAGTGAAATGTTATTTAAACATTGGGCAGCTCTATATGGTAGTCATTGTTCCTTGTTTTTTAAAAGCAGAAGTCTTTCGTATTGTTTTGCAAAGTAACACGAACGTTTAAACTGCATTCTTTACAGCAGTCCTTATGAGTGGGTACACAGTGTACCTTTAACTACATTTTAGCACGAATGGTAACGAAGGATTTATTAACCGTAAGTAAATTTCCTTATTAGGGCTATATTTTATACTATGTACACAAATATAGAAATAAACTTTGGTCCTGAAATTGGAATTGAACATAACTTTTAAAAATTATTAATCAATTATAATTTATTCAAAGAATTAGGAAGTAGGATAATTTTGATAATTGTATTGATTGTCTTAGAGATTACACAAGTATCAATTTGTATTGATCATTGTTATATAGTCAGAACTTTATCAGATAAAGAAAGAAAAAAATTAAAAGTAGAGCAATCATTTATTTGGTAATAATGATTGATTATTGAATCTACTCATAGTTTTAATCTAATGATTTAAATAATATTGCATAAGTTTGTGCAATACTTTTTTAACACTACCTTTCGCCCGTTACTCCGACCGCGTGGAATTAGAAAAAACGAAGGTAGCCTATTTGCTCTTCCAGACTATGCTCTACATATATGCCAAATTTCATCCAGATCCGTTCAGCTGTTTAGCATACAAACTCTAACAAACCTCCATCCATCAATCTAAACTTTCGCATTTACAATATTAGTAGGATTTACAAAGATTTACATGTCTACAATATCGTCCTACATCTTGTATTGCTATTCTCTGAAAAGTCAAGAAAAGCAATCTTGGATCGGAGACCTTCCAATCTGTTTACGACAGTTTTTTCGCTGTAACGGCACAAGTAACATTTAAGCTTTTGAAATATCAACAGGGCCCAGAAGTTTCTTTTTTATAAACATTCCATTTGTTTCATACTATAATGCTATTGTATGTATGTAAATAATATAATAAAATAAGACGAATGTTAATATGGAAAATAATTGCAAATTGTTGCATTTATTGCTTCCTCACTTTCGTACACTATATCTTTATAATAAAAAAGTCTATATAAAATATAGTCTAATGGGAATCGGGCCTACTTCTTCTATTTCTAATCATGCCAAGCTGTTGTTAAGTTAGCGCAATGAAGTAATTGACCGTGAAATCTCGAGTAATACCAGGTCATTGTTAGCGGGTTACTAGATCAATCCGCCATTTTGTTACACAACGGTAGAATACATTCGCTTTCGTAAATAATGTTACTGACAGCTAAAGACATTTCCACCAAGCTGCTAGCCGCGCGACTTTACCAGTCGCGTCCAGTGAAAGTAAGACAAGAAAGTAAGGCAAGTAGAATCGCGCAGCTAGTTACTATCTGGAAACAGAACATAAGACGTTGAGAGTTGCATAAGCAGCGCTGGATTTTCCGTTAGTTATCTAAGTAATGATAGACGTGATCAAATTTAAAATGAGGCTTTTCAGGGAAAGATCACGAAGGTATCACAAGTTAATTTTAGTCTTACAGTGATTATTTAAAAACTAAAACGTATTTCTCTTGTTTGCTACCTGATGTCCTACATAAATAATACCGAAACGCCGTAAGCGTAGGTTTTTAGTGAATAATGTATGAAAAGATTTTTCCTGCTGTTTTCGTTGCCCACGATACAGGCATTGCCTAGTGTAGGCATCACCAGATTAATCGTATATTAACCACAATTTGTAATTCTTTTAGTTGGTATAACTGCTATTGTAATTGTTAATCTCTTATTTTTCAATAAAATTATTTCTATTTCTATTTCTACATAACTGACTGGAATTTTTTTATCGGATAGCTGCGTTGCCATGACGATGTATGAAATGTTAGGTGTGGAGAGGCATGCCGACAAGTTGCCAGTTGCGCGATAATAGCACGTCATGACTGATGTGAACAAAAAATAGCGACGTCACGAGATCAAACCTATAGAGGTTTAGTTATTTTTTAATAATACCAAGCTATTCATAGTGTAACATTATTACAAAGTTGGATAATAATCGTGCACATTTCAAATCATTTTATAGTTTCTATCGTTGCTTAAATTTTATATCACTTTGCAGACTTTTTTCATTTGTTTATCATCTTTTTTGTGTAGTTCCAACAAATAGGTTTCATATGTTCTGTACTTATAGTAAAGAGGTTAAGTTTTTAATCTGTGTTTATCTAATGACGCACTTAACGTAATCCCGTACGTTACGCATCCCTTCACTAACTAATTGCTAATTGCGTAGACAAGATATGCGATAAAGTATTCATAATTAATTAATTTATATATTCAAGTGTTTTATCAGACTCTATATTAGAACTTTATTATATTTATATTTGTTTTAAATATTAAAAATTTAGACCACACAAATATCTGTACGGTAATAAGTAATTTAATTTCCCGTCATAAAAACCATTTTATTTGGGACAAGGATAATTGTGATTAATTTGTCAAGTAACATTAAGTACCAGTTCGTCAGAAATTAATTTGTGTCTCAACCCCTTAAGGAGTGACAGCTATTACAGATTTTACCGTGCTATTAATCTGTTCTAAATTCGAAATGCAAAACCATGCTGTTATCTCTTTTATTTTTAGGGAGAATGAGAGAGTTGACAATATATTCTAGCAACACCACCGTGTTCGTTTTCGTCCGCTTTCGTCCGCGACTCCGTCCGCGTAGAATTAAAAAAAACAAAAGTGGGTAGCGCATGTGTTCTTCCAGACTATCCTCCACATCTGTACCAAATTTCATTGAAATCCGTTCAGCCGTTTAGTCTACTATCTCTGACAAACATTCATCCATCCATCCATCTAAATATTTGCAAATAAATATAATATTAGTATGATTTCGCTATCCATGCTGTGTTTTGCAGTTCATATCGTATGTTACGTATCAACGTAAACTAAGCGCTGTTGGCCTGCTGACATGACGCAACCACAATGTTTTCATATTTCCCTTTATTACGCATAGCCGCTATGTTTACTTGTCCACTGCGGTAGCATGTACAAGAACACATTGTCATTAGGTGTGTGCGAATATTCGAAACTTATGAATTACCACATAAATCGAATATTCGAATTCGTAAATTATATATACGAGTAAAACTTGTGTATGAACATATAATTATCAAATAGTAATTCGCACAAAACGTGACCTCGTCTTAAGATGTAACAGTTTTTGCAATGTCAATGACTTGCGATTCGTTTTCATGGTTAAAATCATTAATAAAAACAAAGGTCGTCTTTATGTCCGTGTTCATCGTTTGATGTTTCATTGAAAATGTTATTAAGGATTGTAACGATGGGTCGTATGTGAATTTTCATTAACGTTACTTTTCTATATACGACATTTTAACTATCAGAGGATATAAAGCAAATAATTTTATGTATATGCAAATACTATGACCGACATTATCGATCGAAGTGTTAGGCATTGAATTTGTCAGTTTTGAGTTTTGTCTATTACAATGGAGCGCGATTGGTGGCAGCTGACTCCGCGCCGAGAGATGATCTCTTTACCTTGTTGTTTGGCAGCAATTGATTCAAGGGTATGTTAACTACATATTTAAATATTATAAACGTGAATGTTTAGATGGATGGATGTTTTTTAGAGTTTTTTTTTGCGTTTGTTAGCGTTTGTAGCCTAAACTGCTGAACGGTTCTCAAGGAAATTTGGCATAGATGTCTACATCTACGCCAAATTTCATCTCCTAGTATATGTATACTAAGAGATGAGATTACTACTATTTTTAATACCACGCGAACGGAGTCGCGGGCGAAAGGTAGTACTTACTAAAGAAGATTACAGTTAAATGTATTAAGTAGTGTTTAGAGGATAAAATCAATACTTCATTCTAATTTCTCGTTAGTCGTTTACTTAACAATTTTGTCTGTAGGGTGATAAGATTAGTCACTTGCTACAGTCTTACTGAAATGGAATGTAAAATGAAAGGGCTTTGTCTCGATCAAGTAATAAATCTGAGTTAACAACACCGAATGCTCGCTCTTTACACAAAACATCTCAAGCTAAATCTCAATTCTTTTGCGTAGGTAATTATTAATTTTCGCAATCAATGTCATAAGTAATGCTGCGTAAGTAAGATAAGCTTGTAATTGAATGTTTCTTTGTCCCATTTCAAAAAGCAATAATTAAGTAAATAACGCGAGTCAAAGTAAATGGCCTTAAGAAGATCGATCGAACACACTCCCAGGGCGACCTGCGTTCCTATTTCACTGCGAGACAGTTCAGTTCAATAAATACATAGTCAAGTAAAGGTAAACAAATTCTGAACAAAACAAATAGTTAAGTGGAACTTTTCAGTATGTAGGTCGGGCGAAAAAGATGTTTTTTATATCGACATATTCATAATATTTTATAGTTTTCAGATATAACTAAATAGAACATTAAAAAGTGTCTTTGTACTGAAATATTGATTTTAAACCTTAGTTATTGCCATTAAATTTCATATATTTCTTATGTTAATATTATCTTAATCAATTTCTAATAACAATAAAGTAATTAACTTCTTTATAATGCAATACTTATGTCATAAAAAGGAATAATAAACATTCGTATAATAGTTATATAAGCTCGTCTTTTATGTCTAATAACGAATTACGTAAGTGATTTAGTTCAATAACATAGCTTGAGGTAACAACAACGTTTAACGTCATCTGATATCAAACCACACATCCTTGTACTGCTCTACATAGCATCAGGAAATAAATGATCTAAATTGGGAAAAGATGAACGTTTACTAAAATGTTTACATGAACCAACTGAGCTTAGCAAACTAAACGTCATTTATTATGTACGTTTATAAAAAAATGGACGTTTGGGCCTCGTAAAATCAGAGCCACGGAACAGTTCTAGATGAAAAAGACAAAGAAAATTACAGCCCAGAAAACGAACACATTTTTAAAATCCTAGGTGGATAAAATCGCATGAATTCAACAAATAATGTAATTATGTTATGTACTCCTAGTAAAAATGCATATGCAATTCCAGGGTTTGGCGTTCAGTATCGAGGAGCGCCAGGCGTTAGGCATTCACGGGCTGCTGCCAGCCAGGGTCAAGAGCCAGGAGGAGCAGATGCAGCTCTGCAAACTCTCCATCGAGAGATATGAAGACCCTCTCAATAAATATATCTATCTTATGGGATTACTTGTAAGTAAATGATACTTTACGGTCAATGTTACCTATATATATATACTAATATTATAAAGAGGAAAGATTTGTATTTTCGTATGTATTGAAATAACTCAAAAACTAATAGGCCGACTTTAAAAATTCTTTTACCATCAGAAAGGTAATTTATCGGTAAGTAACATTTATTATTACTAATGTTTAGGAACTATTAATAAACAGCGAGTTTCTGGACGCTGGCTTTAAAAATTCACTAATAACCCATATAGTAGGACATGAATAGTGTTTTAATTTGTATTATTTCTCTGTGATTATAGTCTTGTAGTATTTAACTTTAACTTAAAGATTTAATTTATACTTTCAGAATTTAGATTTGCTTTTGTATAAAGGTTTATGAAGTGTATTGTCAATATTGACATACGGCTAAGATCTTGATAAGCTGTTCTTATAATGCAATGTGTTAGTGTCATGTGATTGTGAACATGTGTAACTATTAATGTATACGATCACATTCATATATCCTGTGTAATGAGGCTGTAACCTCTGTCAATGTTAGACCACACCCTACTTGAAGCAATGGCTACGGAATTGTACTACTGACGGCTATATACTGCACAGAAATAATTGTCTAATCATGTTTGTGTGTCAATTTTAACGGTTATTTCATGTTTACTCAGGACCGCAACGAGCGCTTATTCTACTATTACTTGGGTCAAAACGTAGCGGATCTGATGCCCATCGTGTACACGCCGACCGTGGGCCTGGCCTGCCAGAAGTACGGGCTCGTCTACCGCCGCCCGCGCGGTCTCTTCATCACCATACACGATAAGGGACACGTCTACGATATACTGCAGAACTGGTCAGTTTCTCTTTGAATGAATGAATGAATGAAAATGTATTTATTGCCACAAAAAGTAAATTACATAAAGGGACTACTTATTCTAAAGAAAACATGACTAATATCGTGGCAAAAGGTAACCAGCTCAGCGTATGCAGGAGGGACTAAACCGTTCCTGTGCTGATTTTCTTGTATGAACTTGTATGAATTATCTTAATTTTCACTTTAAGAAATAGATAACGTATTGTAATACAAGCTATGTAGTGGACGTTTGTGATGTAAAAATCGTTTTAGTATCATTTTTATTTTTAGGAAGTGTTCTGATTGAATCCGATATATGTTATAAGTAGATGCATATCAGCTTGTAATAAAGATTAATACATTTTTATTAGAACAGCCGGATATATTTATTGTCGGATATGTATCGACCAGATCACCTCGTGTGCGGCCGCGCCCCGGGCGTTTGGCTTTGGCCTGTACTACTGACCTTACATACTTTATGACCTAGTATCTATTGAAATGTTGGTTTCAGTTTCAATTAATACTACCAAATATAGTACAAATAATAAGCCAACTGTCTAGGCTTCCATATCTTTACTTGCTGTTTGAAAAAATAAGGAAAAACAGCTTAAATGCGCAGAATCATGTCTAACCGAAAACATTAAATTGATTTATTCCCAAACGCACTGTGACTGTGTAAATTATTTCCTCTTAAATTGCCTTTGTTGGTTGTCATTGTTAGTCATGAGGACGTATTATTTTACTATCGCCTGTTGCGAAACCTTGGAAAACCGACATATGATAGATTTTCCAATTTAAAATTATGAAACTTTTTAATATAACGAAAATGACGAATTTTTATTAATAAATTTGCTATCACTATTATTTAGATGTTGATTAGTATGATAAATTTTTGAGGCCGGAGACGGACGTGCGCGCTATCGTGGTGACGGACGGCGAGCGCATCCTGGGCCTGGGCGACCTGGGCGCGTGCGGGATGGGCATCCCAGTGGGCAAGCTGGCGCTCTACACCGCGCTCGCTGGCATCAAGCCACACCAGTGCCTGCCCATCACTATTGGTAAGACTGTCAGTTACCTACAACTGTTATAGTACTGTGACGGTCATCCGCAATTCGATAATATTCATAGAATTTGAGATACATTCTGTATAGCAAAATCAAATTACTTGTGGCAAGTTCAACTCATATAGTGTTGTCTTAATATTTATACATAACAAGATGTCCACGTGCGGCCTCATCCGCATAAAATTACTAAAACCTAATTTTATAGGATACATTTGTGAAATTTACAATTGCATTTAAATACACAAACAACAACGTAGGCCTTAACATTGGATAACATTTACCGTTGCCATAGTAAGCTCGGTTCCTTAATGTTGTCAGTTTTTGTCCCTTTCCCGCATGATAGTATTTTCCAAATTATTTACTCCCTAACTTTAATAGACTTCAAAATAATGGAATTTGAAGGTTAAGAGATGATCATTTAAACGCTGTTACATTTTAACATTTTATTACAGTATTTGGTCGTAAAATCTTGATGACATGTGTTTATTATGTAAACATATGTAGGGTTCACAACTTTATAAGAGCTGAACTGATTGTAGACGTGGGCACGAACAACGAGACGATGCTGAGCGACCCGCTGTACATCGGGCTGCGGCAGCGGCGCGCGCGCGGCGCCGCATACGACGACCTCATCGAGGAGTTCATGCAGGCGGTGGTGCGCCGCTTCGGACAGAACTGCCTCGTGCAGTTCGAGGACTTCGGCAACGCCAACGCCTTCCGCCTGCTCGAGAAGTACCGCGGCAGGTAACTCGCACTGACACTCGCACTCGCACTCACTGCGCTGTTAACTGTTAACGTTTATCAAATGTCAACATCTTCTTTATTGTTAGCAATCATAATGTTACCAATCACAGAATGTTTTTTGAATGAAAAGGCCTTATGCGACATGCTCAGGCTACATTCTTTTACGTTATTTAACTTATTAAGTGATTAAATCTTACTATCTTCTTAATATTATAAATACGAAAGTTTAAATGGATGGATGGATGTTTGATAGAGTTTGTAGCCTAAACGGCTGAACGGATCTCGATGAAATTTGGCATATGGTAGACCTAGAGGATAGTCTGCAAGAACACATAGGGTACTCACATTACATTTTTCTTAATTCCAAGCGGTCGGAGTTGCAGGCGAAAGCTAGCTAGAAATTGCTGTTGATGAAAGGGACAAAATTACTGAACTACTTAAATTATCAGCCGCTAGCAAGAGTATTGTCATTTGATCATTTCCAATTGAGAGTTTTAATAAAATAAAATTTTTATAATACGATGGGTACGAAGCAGCAAGGGAACAGTTCGTTATAACGTAAAAATGTAAAATATTGTGTCAGGTACTGCACGTTCAACGACGACATCCAGGGCACGGCGGCGGTGGCGGTGGGCGGGCTGCTGGCCAGTCTGCGCCTCACCGCCTGCAAGCTCGCAGACAACACCTTCGTCTTCCAGGGCGCTGGAGAGGTCTCATTTCGTTCACGTTTTCATATATTTCAGTCATACAATCATCACCACCCATACCTTAAGTTAGGGTGACTAGACTTGTCTAACTCAGTGAAAAATGTCTCTAGTAAAGTTATCAACTATGGCTTTTCTATATATTTTCTGAATCTATGGTAGAAAAGAAGATTTTTAGTATAAAACAGTATTTATGAAGTGTCATTGTGTCAGGCGTCGCTGGGCATCGCGGAGCTGTGTGTGATGGCGATGAAGGCGGAGGGCGTCTCCGAGGAGGAGGCGAGGTCGCGCATCTGGATGGTCGACTCTAAGGTTATATGTCAAATTATACTATTTATATAGTATAGCTGTTACCCGCGACTTCGTCCGCATGGTATTTAACAGACGAACCGTATAAATACAAAAGCTAAGTATGTGGCTATTGGGAACCGGATGTTTCTTTCAGGGATCTCGGGGATGAACCTTATCTCATGTGTACTCCAGTCTTTATTTTATGTCAGTGCTAAATTTCAATAACATATGTTGAACCGTTGCAGAATTGTCGAGTAAACATTAAAATACAAAATATTGCATCCCACGGGAACCGTAACTATTTCCAGAATTAAAAATAACCTTTGTGTTCTTCCAGACTATGCTCTACATCTGTGCCGAATTTCATAAAGATCCGTTCATCCAAGCTACAAACTCTAACTAACATCCATCCATCTAAACTATCGCATTTATAATATTAATTTGATTTTTTACTTTTAAAATGTATGAGAATGTACTGACCTGTATACCTTGATGCAGGGTCTGATCGTGCGCAACCGGCCGGAGGGCGGCCTCAACGAGCACAAGGAGAAGTTCGCCAAAGACTGCCCTCCCATCCGCACGCTGGAGGAGGTGGTCCGCACCGCCAAGCCCTCCGTGCTCATCGGTCAGTACTGCTTTGTTTAATGCCAAAATATATGAGTAATCGCTTAAAAAGAATAGAAAAAAAAATCGACTTATCTTACACAAAGTTTTCCAAACGATGCAAAAAGAACAATTGGTCAAACTTATCATGTCAAAGATATGTTTGCATTAAGATTTTGATTATTTACTAATTATTTTTTAAACGTAATTTTTTCTAGTTCCTGCATCCCTCATATTTATACTTTCCTATATTAACTTCTGTGCGATGCCATTGGCCTAGAATTCAAAAACTACTAAGTGTAATTGGTC